TGAATTACTTTAATAAAGTGAGCTTCTAGCTTGGATGATTCCAGTTGGGTCTAACCTGAAAGCCTCTTTTTTGTCATCTGGCTTCCAACTAGAAGATACTTTACCAGCTGCCAGGAAGGCAAGCAATGACTAGTCCTACCTTGATGTAACACCCATGAAGCACAACAATGACCAGCATGGCAAGATATCCCTAAATGTGCAAAAAGGGGTACACACATGGTGGGAGCCTACAGTTGTCTAACTGCATTCAAGATCCATTCTGCAGAAGGAAATCATTCCAAGATACCATCATATCTTGGCTAGTGAGGTCATGAACCTTAACAGAAAACCTTGCCAGACTAACGTCCTTACTACATTCTAAATTTTTACCTAATATACCTAATATATAATAGACAAGTGTTTCAACCAGCCTTCATCAGAAGCCTCTCCTTCCAGCAAATGGAGACCACCACAGGGAACCACAACTGGACATGATGTAGAGATTGAGAGATTGTGGGGAGCCTTGAATCCTCTGAGATGATGGACGGTGTCCTTGAACTGTGAACCAAATATATCTTTTTTCCTTAAATTGCTTTTGGTCATGGTATCATAGCAATGGAGAATCAACTAAGATTCCTAGTTACCTTCTTCATTTTCCACACCAAGCTGTCAGCTACTGTTGATGCTGAAATACAGAGATGAAGAGCTAAATGTGTGCAAGTGATAACTAGGCTGTAGTCCACAACCTCAGAGACATTAAAACCCTCTTTCAGAAACAGATAGAAGCAGGTGCAGAGATCCACAACCAACCACTGGGCCGAGCTCCCAGAGTCCAATCAAAGTGAGGGAGGAGCAATAATATGAACAAATGGATCAAGATCATGAAGGGAAAACTCACAGAATCAGCTGACCCAAGCTAGTGGGAAATCACTGACTCTGGATCAGCTACTAGGGAACCTGCATAAGACTAAACCAGGATCCCTGAATACAAGTAACAATAGTGTGGATTGGGCAGTAAATGGCAGTGTGACAAGGATCTAACTCTAGTGCATGAACTGACTTTGTGGAGCCCGTTGTTTATGGAGAGATACCTTGCTGGGCCCAGGCACATGGGCAGGGAGCTTGGTCCTGCCTCAACGAGGTGATAGAACAGAATTAGTTGACTTCCCAGGGAAAGCCTTACCCTCTCTGAGGAATAGTTGGGGGTGGGAGGGAGTGGGAGGAGAGGAAGGAGGGGGAACTGGGATTGGTATGAAATTGATCACTGATGTGGGATTCCCCTCTGTATGCTGTAAATATCATTGGTTAATGAAGGAACTGCTTTGGGCCTATAGCAGAGTTATAGGGGAACAGAGCTAGATGGGGAAAACTAAACTGGATGCTGAGAGAAAGGAGGCGGAGTCAGAGAGAAGCCATGTAACCCCACTGGAGAAAGATGCCAGAACTTTACCCAGTAAGCTACTGCCATGTGGCAGTACACAGATTAGTGGAAATGGGTTAAGTTAATACGTAAGAGCTAGCCAATAATAAGCTAGAGCTAATGGGCCAAGCAGTGATTTAAATAATATAGTTTCTGTGTGATTATTTTTGAGGCCGAGCAGCCAGGAACCAACAAGCACCCTCCTTCCAACAGACCACTGCTAATGAGAGGCTAGTGGGAGGAACAAGAAGGTGGGTAGGCATAATTACATAGTTTATACTTTATGACAGCCTGAGGTGAGAAGACAGACAAGTGAGTACTAGACATGAAACGTGCTGAATCATGGCAGTAAATTAGCCTATTTTTGATTTTCTAGCAGTATTCAGTCTTCACCTGAATGTAGCTTATCTTGATATTGAGTGGAGCCCATGCTGCTTCTCTGACCTCCCCATCTCCATATCTATGGACCCTTGTATGCGAAAGAGTTATTCTAAGGCAGTGGCTCTCAACCTTTCTGACACTGTGGCCCTTTAATACAGTTCCTCATGTTGTGGTGACCTCCAACCACAAAACTATTTTTGTTGCTACTTCATAACTATGATTTTGCTACTCTTAGGAACCATAATATAAATATCTGATATGCAGGATATCTGATATTCAACCCTCAAGGAGCCATGACCTAGAGGTTGAGAACAGTAGTTCTAAAGGCAATCAAGAAGACAACTTCACACTGTTTGCTGCATGACCTTCAGTTTTCCTCTGGTCCTCTGGTAGACATTACCAAAAAAAGAATTACAGAATCCACATTTTTTTATGGATTAATTTTGAAAAAGAGAATTGAGGTGGTCTTTCCAAATTCTTCTATTCAGTGATTCCCATGTCTTGCAAAGAATTTTGCAATTCTGAAGACATAGCTACATCACACAAAAATTGACTTTGTTGTTCACAGTTATCTGAGCTTCCCCATGAGGAATCAGAGCAAGACTCTTTGCCAAGTCTTCATTTATGCCGTTCTTGCCTCAAATGCTCTGTTTGAGTCCTTCAATTTACTCTAAGTAGACTTCAGGATAGAAGTTCAAGGCCATTTCCCTTATGACAGGTACTTATTCTAAAGTGTCCCTCGAGGCTTCCTCAGAATAAACTTCCGCACCACTCTAGGTGTGATCAGGCATTGCTGAATTAATGATGGAGGTCTTATTGTGATTGGCAATTTGAAAATCATCATTAGATTTGGTAATTTAAGAGACAGTTTGGTAACTAAAGACACGATTTATTTACTGTTTCAACCATGACCTGTTGAGTGTTCAGCATCCACCAGGCACTGATTTAGGTAATACTGAGTCATAGTAGGCATAGCTGAGACTTTCCCTGTCTTCAAGAACCTTACATTCTTATATTCCAGTTACTATGAACTTCCTACATGGCCTAGCCTGGGACATTCCCAAAAGCAAGCATTCAAAAATCAATGACTATTAGAAACTAACCAGCTGCCTGGAACTGGGTCATTGACTAGCACTGAATCCTTGAAAGTGTATTATGACTCTAGGACTGTTTTCCCATGCAGATTCTTGTAGAAATATTCCCTTCAGTAAAGGAAAAAGACAGTGAGGATTCTTATAGTCTTTGAACAAGATTCTATAAGTGGTGCTAAAATGCTCTTAGAATTGAAACGAACTGAATCTATAGTCCTAATTTAAATTTTTGTGAGGAAAAAAATAAACTATCAAGAAAGAAAGAATAAGCAGAACGGATGTTTCCGATCTGTTGACTTCATCAGCTTCCATTAAAATCTCCATCTCAATGATAAATAACAAAATCTGACTTTAAACAAACAGTAAGCTAATTAAGGCTTCTGAATGGCACGATCAATATTCAATTGTCAATAGTGACCTCTAAGGAAGGAAAATAATATATTCAAAGATGGTCAAAAGATAAAATCAACTCCAATGTGTTGATGTCTTTCCAAAGCTTCAAGAAGTGAGAGAAACTCAGAAATGACTTTAAAGAGAAATTTCAGAACAGAAACATAGGTATTTATCTATTTCCTGTTAGTTAAAATAACCATAGACTCTGATATCTTTACTTCTGGCTTCTTTTATCACACCCAAGACTAGAGGCTTTTTAAACTAAACAGAACAGTGAGATATGTTTGAGCAGCAGGCAATGCTTCAGGATGTGTTGCCCAAGTAATCCTCAGTATCATTCCCAAGCTGACCAAGATGCCAAACTAAAGGGAGAGGCCAGTCCTGTTATCACCTCAGCTGGGGTCCTACCCGCACTGTAGATCTCTAGCAAAGTGGGAAGGTAGGAAGAGAAAATGTTTACGTTATAAGAAACCAAAACTGATGTATGTTGGATTGAATCCCACCCCATCACTGGATTTTCCATTCTAATGAGTCTTGTCTTTTACTGCTTCTTGTTGGTTTGTTCTTGTCGTTTTCTGGCATCCACAGATGAATCAATAATTCTGAATATTTACTGTCGACCTTCTCAAATGCTGCTGAAGAAAACTAACGCCATAAAGCTTAAAATGCTGAATTTGGGTGCTGAATCTACAAGCAGAGATATCACTCTTAGTTAAGAAAGTAAGGGTTGGGGGGTGACATGCTACATGCGTGTGCAGACTCATGGTGCGGCATCACACGTCTGTAATCCTTATGCTCCTGTGTGGGATGGGAAGTGAGAATGGGAGATGTCCAGAGGTTCTCAGGCAGTCAGCTTGTCAAGTGTGTCTTTGAATGACAGAAAGACCCTGACTCAAACAAGACAGAAAGTGACGACCAATATCCAAGGTTGTCCTCTGACCATCACATGTGCCTGAGTGTGCACACACACATGCACACACACACACACACCCTCACTCACACTCCAGCAATCAAACAAATCAAAGTGAAAAATGAAGACAAGAATAAATGAGAGAAATAGAGATGGGAAAGGAGTAGCAGAAAAGGAGAGAGAGCTAAAATAAAGAGTGAGAGAGGAGGGAAATGATTGAAGTACATCACATGTATTACAGAAATGTCATGAGAATCCCCTTACTTTGGACAGTTGATGCATGCTAATAAAAATAAAGGTCACAGGATTTTTCTGTATGTCACATTTCTGTCACTGAAATTCTCATAGTTACCTATTTATCCATAGTAATGCTTATTCTTACTGAGTTCTCTTAACAATAAAAAATGCCTTTGATATTCTGTGTTAATAGGCCAGGGTTGTCTAAAAAACACTCTCTACCTAAAATGTCCACCCCCAGCAAAGAAGCCTGGTGATGCAGGGGGTAGGGAAGGAGTGGAGCTTAATATTTGAAGTTGTGCACATGTGGCTCCTTGTCTTGAACACCTGATCTTAAGCAAGCACAGAACTGTAAAGCAGAAATGAATATCTTATTCCCCTCATGCCTTAGTACATTTGCAGATATTTTTATAGAACCCCCCCCTTTCTCCATGTTTACCTTCAAAATAATTCTCAGATACAAAAGTGGCAAAAGAGAAATACAAAAAAAGTCGTGTACATTTTATCTGAGAAACCATATTGGTTGATTTGCATGTACAATATCAGCAGATCAGTTGCAATTGCTAAATTTGGAAGGATAACAGCTCACCTGGGGCTGTGCTTCCGCTAGCCTGTTCTGGTACCTCTGCACCGACTCTTGCAGTTGCTTCTCTTTCTCATCTTTTGATGGTGGTCTTCTGCTCATGGTGCCCAGTGGGATAGAAGGCAGGTGCTCTGGCTGATTACAGCTTCATAATCAACAAGGAACAGATTAGCATCAGAAGAAAGTGTAAGGTGTAAGCTGACTGTAAAAGATATTTTACTTCTCAAAAATGTTATATTTTCTCTTATGTACACAAAATTCAAATATAAAGCAGGGCTATATGACTTTGGGGGGCAATCTGTCTTCTTAAATGTCCAGCTGGCATGGAAAAGAGCTATGGAAAAAGTGTGGGGGGGGCACATGTGTTTATGAGGATGGGAGAATATGAATTATTTTGCTAAAAGCCCTCTTATCCTAAATTATTTAAAACAAGTCTTTTCTATAAAAATGTTTCAATCATCTCGATACTAACAAACATTTCCTCACCCTGGGCCCCAAATTTGTTTTCAAAATCCTGTGTCTGTTCAAAACACAACACACAATTCTGTCTCTGAGACACATGGATCTTGTTTGGAATCACTAAGAGACAATGAGCATCACGTCATGTAGTACTCAGGGACAGCTCTGGGGTTATGGAGGCTTGCACAGAGGTCACTAGATGGCAGTGAGCAACCCGCACTGGCATGTCCTTCCCAAATGACCTATTCTCAGCGGCCTAGTACTTGACAATCAATCTGGCACCCAGTTTTGAGTATTTTACAGCCATGAACAATTCTCATCATGGTTACAAAAAATAACTAATCCTTTATTTTGGAAAGCTTGGGACCATTTTACTTTAATTTTTAAAAATTTTTTAGAACTATGTTCTAGAGAGCTGAATCCGTCAATTTTTTTTTTTAAAAAAATGAAATTGTCTAGTTTGTCTTGGTATCAACACTAGATGCAGAAAGGAAGGAGCTGAACTCTTTGAGTACAGTTCTGATTTGGGGCATGGCTCTGTGCAGTAGTAGTATGAAATGAAGATGTCAACTTTTTGGGTCTCTTCTATGTTATGAAGTTTTCTGCTATTCATGCAAAGAAGCAGGGGAGAGTTGTGGCCCATCAGTAAAAGAGGGGTCAAACTTGCAGAAAATGTATGTGCACTGGGCTTGGAGGGGAGAAGGCTAGCAATGGGGAGAGCCTCCTGTCACTGGAAACAGGGAAGAAAATATAAGACGGATGGAAACCACCAGCTCTGTTTCTCAAGACTGCGAGTATGTATTTTTCTTGCCCCCTACCAACAGAGAGAAAGTGAAGAACTATCATCAAATTCAAGCAAGCTGTGAAAAAACGCTTAATCCTACTTTCATGTGGTGTTGGCTATTATTGTTATTTTCAAAGAAAGGTACTGCATAAACATATCCCAAGGATGACTACTGTATCTATAGCTACTGCCAACATAAACTCGAAGACATCTGTGGGGCAGTGCCAACACAGTGCTGTTTCTTGTGAGAAAAGAACCTTGAAGCCATGTGAAGTTTTCATTCAGAACAAAGAAAATTAAGTCTTTTATTGCAATGAAGGGCATCCAACTGTCTTCCTACAAAGATTTTTGGTCATATTTTAAAATGCAATACAACCTCTACGTATTTTGCATCCTTTCCACAATTCAGGGGTTTTGGGTTCAGTCAAATAATAGGCATCAGTTTTATCCTGCTGGGGTTTGGTGATTCCTGAATTCAATACAAATGAATGCATATCATGAATAAGATGGGAGTGTGCTTGTAGCTATTTCTCAGCGACTTGACAAAAATGTCCTTTCCCTCTGTGATCAAACTGGAAAACAAACAAGACTTCAGTAGCCTCAATAGCACTAGCTCCGGTTTACCTTGTCGCGACTGCGGGAATTAAATACGACCATGTGTAAGATGGTTGAATCATTAAATGTATGTAGGTAAACTGGGTTCCCTGGAATGTATAGGATGTTTTGTGTCTGACACTTGGTTTCAGGTTCACCGTGAAGTGGGAATCCTTAGCATGTCACTCAAGCCTTCTGAGTATCTGGGATTTCTCTTCTTAGAAATGGGATGAGTTCCCAGGGCCTTTGTAAAAATAAAATGGTTAATGTACAAATCCTATGGAAGAGAATGGTGTTTCTGTTTCAGGTTCTATTGTTTACACAGACCCTTGTTCATGCAAATGCCACCCATTGGCATTGACTTTGGGGGCAACGAGGAAGCAGCTTCGGACTTCCAGCCGTGTTCTCTGTAAATACAGACAGTAGCTTGTCTCATCTCAAGACTCAGCTCGTGCACTCACAGAGCATGCCTCATGCATAACCATTTCACTTTGTTTAGAGAAATTTATTTGATATGCGTCTGTCTAAACTTAACAGGGCATATATCTCTGGGCAGATGTCAAGCCCCATTCTTCAGGAAGGCAGGCCCACTCACCAAAGCTGAATCAGAGGACTCAGTGAGACCACATGACAGATCCCTAGTCTCCACTAGGAGTCATCCTATCTACACCACTGATCTTGAGGTCCCCATGCAGGAAGGGCCTGCCTCAATTAGGTGCTTTTACATCTTGCTAAGCCTCCTGCTGCTGTTTTATGCATATTTTATTATAATCTTTTCAGTGGAAATGAAATACAGATGGTCAATATTGTGTCAGCGTGTTTAAAAGTTCAGGGGCTTCGGGAAACTATAAATAGAAGCACTTTCTGGAGTTTAGATTTTCAAGGTCCATCAGGTTTCTGTCAAAACAACTACATTTGTTTTACCTCCCCCTTGCAAGTGGTGTTATCTGGATGAGTAGCAGGGACAAAATTAACGTAGTCCGGAAGACGATTCTGCAATGCTCTGTGAGGCATCACTAGTACTAAGGGAAGAGGGCAAGAGCATGAGAGTTCAGGGTCGCCGGGAAACCGGAAGTAGAGAAAGCTGCGAAGGACAGCTTCCCAAGCCTCTGGGCTTTGTTTTCAGAGCTGGATAAAAATGCTTCAACAAGAATTATGACCCTAGTGTCACTATTACCAATAGCAGTCCGCTTACCCATCGGCCCTAAAGAGTTAGAGACGTTTGTACAGAAAGCAATGCTGGGGCGAGGGTGCCTCTGTTAAAAAGGAAGATTAACTCTTTTTCCCTAGGGAAAGACTATTAGTCTAAACGGGCTTGTAAGAACATTGACAGCCATCAATATTTAATCAGACCCCTTTCCGATTTAGTCTCAAATTCTTCCTCCGGCGGAGAAAGTGATAAAATCAATATATGACTTAAATAGATAAAAAGAACACATGGTCTAAGAGTGTAGTGCCCCTAGATGTACCCTCTCAAGAACACTTTGGTAGAATCAGGTTGTGTGCCCTGTGAACGAAAGAGAAGGCAGAGTCAGGAGGCCAAGGCTTCCTGCCAGGGAAGGGTGGAGCTGCATATACCCCAGGACCTGAACTTTGTTACAGCAGATCTCCTTTAAAAGACAGAAAAATACACTAAGAAAACAATATTCTCATAGGTAGCAAGGAGCTAAAGAAGGTATTGAAGAGAAACCAGTTTCTAAGCCAAAATCTTGCTACAACTAACATGTGCAAGGCTTGTAAGGTACACCTTGGAAATTCTACAGTGATAAGGTATTATTAAAAAGCTCATCCATGCTACCTGTTTTCCAGGTTGTTGGGATTATTAGCACAAATCCACATGTCAGGGAATTCTTCGTGGTAATTAGAAGGAGAAGGCAGGACTCTCCATTTGAGACAAAGATCTGACCATCAAGAGAAAAACATGAAAGAAGTGAATGCATCATTAAAAAATAAATAAATAAAACATAAGTTGGTTCCGAGATGCCCAAAGTAGTAACCCATTCACCACACGCCCCATGCCTGCTGGCAGGGCTATGCGAGAAGCTTGTCAAGAAATGCGCAGACACCATCACTGCTGCCGCTCCCTCCAAGTAAGATGCTGTTCCTTCGAAGCAAAGGAAACTTGCTAGATCTCATTCTCCTTTCCCCTAAGAATTCCAGTGACCTGACTCTTATAGTTTCCAGCCTGATCCATTCTGCTCTACTTTCTATGACCAACCACGCTAAGAAGGAGAGTGAAGATCTGTAAGTCATTCACACGCTATCCTCTTCCGTCCATATGCCCCCCTTATTTCACAACCCACTCTGATTTCTTTGTGTGTTTCCCCTTACAATCCCTCCTTTCTTTAAGGTCCAAGGCACACTGCTGTCTTTAGGTTAAAGCCAAGTTTAACCCTGCATTCCCTCTTGACACAGAGGTAAACAATTTGTGCACCCCTGAGATAGAAGCACTTTGCAGAGTCAATGAGCACCTGAACCACCTCCTACAGCCTGTGGATCTTGGGAGATTGACTTAATTTCTGTTTCAGTACAAACATCTGTAAAAATAAGATTTCTACTAGCATTTATATAAAGAGGAACTGAGGATAAAATGGCTTCCCACTATTAATGATGATGAAAATAAACACAGCGAAACAGTTCCTTGATCACTTAGCAAACTTGACACTTACTAGGTCATATATTCACAACTTTATGACATAACTATATAACCAGTCTCATTTCCCTAAAGAGGAGATTAATTCTCAGAGTGATACAATGACTGCCCCCATCCCATGGAGCCCTTTACCCCTGGAGACTGTATTTTAAGTACTTGGCAGGTATCAAAGATACATTCATTATTGGTGATTAAAATTGTCAGCTGGCAGGCTGTCACATACTGTCATCAGTTACCTCAGTCAGGCTTTCCAAACATGTCCTATATGTTCCTTATATTAAACCGCACTACCACATACTAGTTCAGACATTTCCATCTATCCCTTAGGTCTTCTATTATGAGGAACTCTGTCATCGCAGGTTTGACCTCCCCTCTGTTCTGGTCCTGCACCAAGTCATCAATTCCCCCCGAACCACTCCCAGAAGAAGGCAGGGAGGCGCTCTGTTGGCACTTGTCTGTCTTCCCTGCTGAACTGTTGGGGACAGAGGGCACACTGTCTTTCATTCCAAGCCTTCCATACAGTGGCTTGAAAGCATACCAAGTGCTCCGTGACTCTCAGCTGCTGTCCTTCTACTGGGAATTTTCCAATACTCCACTGCTTATCAAAGTGAAAACTAGGCCTGGAATTCAGGACCTCATAAAGGTATTTACTGAAGAAAATACTTCTAGCTTTCATCAGTGGGTCATCCTCCACTTATTCTGTTATTAGATTACAGAATCCCTGTTAGTCTTAGACAGAGTATGACATAAAAGCAGGAAAGTGGCTGTTTCTTGCTTTCCATCACAAATATTTCAAATAAGGTGCATCTCTGAGATCGACCCTCTTTCCCTGGGCCTTACCTCCACTCAGCCTTGTCATAACGACTATCCCATGCCTCTGTCGTGAAATCTTACCTCCATCCCCCCATCCCATTCTTTTTTTCACTGCAGGTTCAAAGAACTCTGCATCCAACCCTTCCCTAGCCTGATTCGCCCTCTACTGTACTTACTTTAAACTCTTGCCACGACAGAAACTTCCTTAGAAGCAAACACCATGGTTTACCCTCGTGTCTTTTCATCACCATGACTTGAACATTTAGGAAATCACGACTATCTGGCAGCTTGGCATTCAGCACTCACCACACTGTAGGATGAATGGGATCGCCATGGCTTGTCTTCTTCGGCACAGGAGAGACTCTACAGACCTGTCCATGTCTTTGCTGTGTTGGTATTTGAACTCGTCCCAAAACACTGCTAAATTTCTATTACCTGAAGGAAAGAAAACAGACAACATAAAATACTAATGTAGCAAGTCAACACAGTCAAGGTGATTAACTCAAGGGAGTTTAGATGTAAGCACATATACCATATGGCTTCAGCTGTGTAAGAGTCAATACATAAATAAGAGATTGATGTGTTGGTTATCGCCAAATCGGGTCTCTAGAGATTAAAATATGCTTGCTGATTTATCTGCTCTTGCATTTTCAAATCATGGGCAGTAAACAGGCACCATTTTTACAATGAAAATAAAGACAATAGCAGTTATAAAAAGTTACATCTTTATTGTTGCAATAAAGCACAGTGACATTTAAAGTATTATTCTTAAATATTCCCAGGAGGAGCTGTGCTAATTAAACTGTAAAGGCCACTTTTAAAATGATTGCTAGAAGTATTTATCACTCTTATCACACAGCTAGAGTTTTCTTGAACCCTTATAGCATCTCTGGTTCTGTTTTTTTCCTGGACTGTTTTATGTTCCTTCCTAACCCTGAGTTCTATACCCTCCTTGCTTGGAAACAGTTCTCATCTCAGGAGACCATTGGACTTTCATTAAGAAGCTGTGTTCTTATCCTTTGAGCTAGGGACTGTACAGCTGTGAAAACATTACAGCATTATTAGAAGAGCAAAAATCTGGAAATCATATGAACGCCTATGGAGAACTGGTAAACTCCGTTCTCAAACTGTGGTAGAACCCTAAGCACCTTGAAGAGGAGGGAGGAAGAGCTAAATGTAGTGTCTTACCAGGCTCTAAAAACACAACTTAAAAAATGAATACAACACAATACCAGATAATGTTTAATGTTTTTATAACTTATAAAATGTATAATCACATAATATCAAGTTGGACATACTTTTCAGAAAGTATGGAGGAGAAAGTTTTGTTTTTATTTTTCCTCTGTGATTGTTTTTTTATGTTTTTAATTAGATTTTTTTAAAAAAGTACCAATCCAAGTTCCCACTCCCTCTCCTCCTCCTATTCCCATCATACACCCTCCCGTCCCACCCCTATCCAGTCCTCAGAGACGATAAAGCACATTACTTTGTGGAAGGCCCAAGGCCTTCCCTACTATATCTAGGCTGAGCAAGGTATACATCCTAAGAGAATAGGATCCTCAAAAGCCAGTACATGCAGTAGGGATAAATCAGTCTGCCCCAGCCACGCAACTGTCAACAACATTCAGAAAAAACAATACCACTCTTGGGCATATACCCAAAAGATGCTCAATCACACTACAAATCTATGTTCACAGCAGCATTATTTGTAAAATCCAGAACCTAGAAACAATCAAGATGCCCCTCAACTGAAGAATGGATAAAGAAAGTATGGCACATTTACACATTAGAGTACTACTCAGAGGTTAAAAAATAAAAAAAATAAAAGATAATATCTTGAATTTTGCATGAAAATGGATGGAATATGAAAACACTATCCTGAGTGAGGTAACCCAGACCCAAAAATATGAATATGGTATGTACTCGCTCATAAGTGGATACTAGACATAAACAAAGAACATTGAGCCTATAGTTCATGATTCTGGAAAAGCTAAGTAATAAGGTGTACCCAAAGAAAAACATGTATAGATCTACCTGGAAATTGGAAACGGACAAGATTGCCTGAAAAATTGGGAGCATGGGGGCAAGAGAGAAAGAAGGGGAGAAGGGGAAGAGGAGGGGAGAAGGGGAGAGTTGGTGAGAACTTGAGGGAATGGGATAGTTGACATGGAGGAAGGACAGAGATGAGAACAAGGAAAGAGATATCTTGATTGAGGGAGCCATTATAGTGTTAACAAGAAACCTGGCTCTTAAGAAATTCCCAGGAATCCACAAGGACGACCACAGCTAAGACCCTAAGCGATAGAGGAGAGGGGGCCCAATCTTGACTTGCCCTGTAGTCAGACTAATGAATATCTTAAATATCATCATAGAACCTTAATCCAGCAATTGATGGAAACAGAGGCAGAGACCCACATATGAGCACTGGACTGAGCTCCCAAAGTCTAGTTGAAGAGTGGAAGGAATGAGAATATGAGCCAAAGGTCAAGACCTTGATGGGTTCACCCACTGAAACAGTTTACCTGAGCGAATAGGAGCCCACCAACTCCAACCGGACTGAGAAGGAAAGTTTTACTTTTAAAAAAATTAAAGGTTTATTTTTTAAGAGTATGGGTGTTTTCTTTGAACATGTATTTGTGTACTATGTGTACTGGCAGAGGTACCCACAGAGGCAAAAGATGTCAAGACTCCTGTAACTAGAATTACAGGTGAGATGAAATGCTATGTGGGTTGGGGGAATAAACCTGGGTCTTCTGCAAGAGCGCCAAGTGCTCTTAACCATCTCTCTAACAAACAACAAATAAAGTTTGAATGGTAGATACCTTTAGAGAAGAAAAGACGCTATGGGCAAGACAAAGGAAGATACTTTTACTTTTTATTTTTACATGTGCATGCACTATTTTTAAAAGGGTCTTTAATAAAAAAGCAAGAACCATATTTTATTATGTCTTCCCAGGATGAGAACCACTGTCTGACTGTGTGGCTATGTGACTTCTGAAGTACACCCATAGGGAACTCTGTCGCCCATGCTCACATGGCCAAAAGTGTGTAATGAACTATAAACCTCAGAGATACTGGGAACGTGGCCATTCTTCCAGCAACTTTCACATGCAACCATGCAATCACATAGAGTGCAAACAAACAATTATTTATACCTGCTATCCCTGTGAAACCTCTGGCTCTACATGCTTAAATTTAAGACCAGCAGGCCAAAAGGTCAGTCTCCAAAAGAGATGTCTTGATGGGCCAGGCTACTAAAAGGGCCTCACAGACCCTTAGATTCCCATCTTGTCTCCTCATCAAATTTCTCCTTCAGTCTTTCCTCCATATCTTCCTTAGGCATCTGCCTGGTGAACGTTCAAATCAGGCTCAGTTTCTGTCCTTTGTTTGTTATTTGTCCTTAAAAATCCCCATTTAACTGAGGAGGGTTGGGGTGGTGTAAATGAGAATGCTCCCCCCATAGGCTCATATATTTGAATGCTTGGTCACCAGAGAGTGGCGCTATTTGAAAGGATTAGGAGGGAGGGGTGGCCTTGTTGGAGGAGGTGTGTCACTGGGGGTGGAGTTTGAGATTTCAAAAGCTCGAACCAGGCCAAATGACTCTGTCCTCTCTGTTCTCTCTCTCTCTCTCTCTCTCTCTCTCTCTCTCTCTCTCCCTCCCTCCCTCCCTCCCTCTCTCTCGTTCTACTGCCTGCAGATCCAGATGCAGATCCGGAACTCTCAGCTGCCTCTCCAGCAGTATGTCTGCTTGTGTGCCCCGATGTTTCCCATCATGCTGATAGTGGACTAGAGCTCTGAAACCATAAGCAAGCCTTCAAGTAAGTGCTTTCTTTTGTAAGAGTTGCCATGGTCATGGTGTCTCTTTATAGCAACAGAACACTGTCCACGACAATGACCTTGAAATTCTGGTCCCATTGTCTGCATCTCTGAGTGCATGCATAAATGAGCTCGGTTTATGTGTTACTGGGGATTAAAGTCAGGGCCATGGGATGTGAGAAAAGCACTCTACCAACTGAGCTGTTTCCCCAGTAGCCCTGTTATTTGGTCTTAGTTCACCTCATTCTCCACTTCTCAAGCTTCCAAAAAATTACTCTCTTGTATTTGAAGTAGCTTGTGAAAGTTTGTTTCTCTGATTTTCATATTAACTATTTTATCTTTGTTATCTTAGGGACATTCCACAGATTTAAAGGACATAGAGTACTGTAGTAGTCTGGATGAAAATGACCTCCGAAGAATCATAGGTAGCAGCATTATTGAAGATGTGGCCTTGTTGGAGGAAGTGCCCACTGGAGACGAAGTATGTCACTGGGGGGTGGGTTTTGTTGCTTCAGAAGCTCAAGTCTGGCCTAGTGGCTTACTGTCTCTTCCTGCTGCCTACAGATCTGGATGTAGAACTCTCAGCTACCTCTCCAGTGCCATGTCTACCTGCTTTCATTCTTGCTTGTCACCATGACAATAATGGATTAAACCTCTGAATTGTAGGCCAGTCCCAATTAAATTTTTCCTTCATATCAGTTGTTGGGGTCATGGTGTCTCTTCACAGCAATAGAAACCCTAAGACAAGTGTATTCTGGCTGTGACACATATTGTCTACAGAGATTTGGCCAAGCAGCAAGTTTTCTTATCCATCAAGTGCTTGCTGGGCAGGCAAGATGGCTCAGTAGACAAAGGTGCTTGCTGCCAAGTCTGGCAACATTACTTTGTCCCTAGGATGCACCCAAGAGAGCCACATCCTCTATACACGTGTTCCTAGACATAAGATAAATAAATGCAATAAAAATAATAAAACTACAATTATAAAAAGTAAATGATGACAGTAACTTGCCCTCTAGGATTAATATAAACAAACGTGAGACACATTAAAACAAAGAATGAAGGGATTCTGGGAAGAGAGAGAGGAGGGTGCTCTCAAACCTGTCTTACCATCGAGACAGAAACATCATTGGCAGACTCTTGAGTGTAACTATTTTCCAACATTGGAGCCTATCGGGATTACAAAGTCAGTTCAACTCCTAACTGGTAGTCCCTTCCCAACCTATACACCTTATCCTGTGACAGCAGCTGTGTTTATGTCCCTTGAACAGCGGGTGCACACCTTGAAAACATCCCGCTTTCCCATTATCTCTGCTTAGGATCTGAAGAGGCCAAGGATGAAGTAGGGCCGCTGATGTCCCACATATTCGCTGGTTGCAATGACTTCCAGGAGATCTGAGGAACTACCACCTTTTCTTCAAAACCCTTCTTTGTTCCATATTCTTTCCTTTTGGGAGCTATGTCTGGCAAGCAAGACTTAAAAACAACAATGTGTACAAGACAAACATAAGTGACCAGAAGGTGACGGAAGATCAGAAATGCCTGCAAAGACTTACATTTACACCTCAGGCTGATCCTCCACACAGAGACCTTTCCTATAACAAAACCAACACAAAACATAA